CAGAACACGGCCACACAGCCCGGAAGACCCACACCAGCCTTTGTTCTATGATGATTTGCAACACCCCATTAATACAACACCAACAACAGATGTCATAATCATTATAGATGACTGGAAGACTAAAGTTGAAAATAAAAATGCACCTGGAGTAATGGAATAATTTTGTCTTGGTATACAGATGAAGTAGGAGACCAGCAAATAACTGTGAAACAAGTTCAATGATTATAGCAAATACATTTTTCAAGCAACCTAAAAAACAGTTCTATACATGGACATTGCTGGATAAACAACACCAAAATCAAATTGACTATGATCTGCAACCAATGGGTGTACCTTTATTCAGTCAACAAAAACAAGACCTAACGCTCACTGCGGCTCGATCATGAACTTCTTGCAAAATTCCAGCTTAATAAACAGTCATCAACTAGATAGAATCTCCATAATGTTCCATCTGCTTATGTTGTTATAAAGGTAGAGAATTGAAATGGATTTGATTTGATCTGATAAAGAGAGTGTCTGAAGAATTCTGGATTGAAATTCACTAAATTATTAAAGATGAAATAAACAAAATTATTACGAAGTGCAACATGCAGAAGAAGGCAAAATACCTATTGATACATTGAAAATTGACTAAGAAAGGCAGAAAGCAAAAGACAATACAGAGAGAAGAAAAATTCTACAACTAAACTCTTCCAGAAACTAAGAAGAGACCAGGAAATCTATTTAAATAAGCAGGGAAAAGAAACTGAGGATGATAATCAAATAAAAAGAACAATGAATTTATTTAAGGTAATTACAGAAGTCAAGGGAATCTTCCCTGCAAAGATAAGCATGATAAAAGACAAGGCAAAGATCTACTGCAGAAGAAGGTACAAAGTAGAGTTAATTAAAATATAAAGCATAAATGTACAATCACCCTAAGTATCTAGACAAGGTGGCTAGATACTCTCACTGCTGACATGAGTATGGGCTTACAAAGATTCAGAGAACCAATTACTGACAGACAGTCCTAGTGAACTGTTATTGATTGGGTCATGAAGAATTGAAAGAGACTGAACAACATCGTAGCCATCCATTGGCAGACATTTTGTGAGTTCATGCATCCACTAAGTTCTTGGAATTCGAAATGTGTTCTTGCACCAAAAAGCTGCCTATCCCATCCTAGAACACCAAGTGTACAGCAACTTACTTTTTTAAGAGAGCCATCGCCTTAACATTTCTCACTCTGTGTTCACATACTCCAGTTACTGTTCTTTCATAAAAAGGAAATGATCCAATTTTTCCTGTTTCATGCTCCACAGTACTCAGTGAAGGAAAAGAAATAAAGCATATAGTTGGAAACATAAGACAAATGTGGAGTTAATTGCAGACAATTTGAAGAAATACAATTTGACAAAGAGTTTAACAGCACAACCTTCTCTAACACAACATTTATCTACAAATCCCATCACCTCACCCAGGGCTGTTTGGGCATGTATGTCACAAAGAAGGCATTCCTTGAAACCGTCTACTCCCAAGCCATTCAGGGTTTTAAAAATCAACACCAAACCATGAATGGGACCCAGAAATAGGCAAGCTGTGTATGCAGTTGGCAAATTGCTACTGAGATATAATCAGTGGTACTAGTATTAGACTCATTGAAATTACCTGAAAATGTGTAGCAATAATACTTCATGGATATCAATTAGTATATTTCCCAGACTGATAGAACTAAATATTTTTTAACAGAAAATATGAACATCTGTAATTTAAATGAGAGTACTTATACTAATATGTGTACGTTGCTTAACTGTTAAGGGGTTATTTGTTAGAATACACTTGAATCGTAGACCTTAGCAACAGTTTTGACCTTACTGGGAGAAATTTGAAAAGTTACTGTAAATGCTAAAGAAGCAGACCTAATTTTCAGATCAAGAAGTCATAGGAAACATCAAAGTTGCTATTCAAGTGCTTTACATCTGAAAAATGCTTTTCCTGGATATTCAGTTCAGTTGATTTTACAAGGAACATCATTATAGATTTCAGTAGTGAAAAAGACAAAGATTTCTGTATGGGGACTAAAGCTTTATTAGGTGCAAAGATCTATTAATGGATATATTCAAGATCGAACTTCAAAAAGGAAAAAATGCCCACTTTAGACTCCCCAATAGCAGTGTTATGAATGCAACCACATATGCACTCTTTTTGTCTTATTATATCTAATACATAAGCCACTTGATTAGAAAAACAGAAGTAAGATGTGTTGGAGTGATTGTTTTGAGTGTGTGTGTATGTGCGCACATGCGTGATTGCATTAGAGCTTATTTTTAAGTATATCCACTTAGAATCTGAATAAAAAAATCTCATTATTCATGGAAAAATTTGGGATTTTTATCAGCCACCAAGTAGCTTAGCTTTTTATCTTCCTTCATTTGTATTTCAATTTTGCCTTGTTTGTTTATGGTATGTACAGTATTATTAATTAACTCCGGTTTTGCCTAAGACATTTAAGTTTATCTATTGACTTACAGGAACTTCAAAGAGACATAGAGAAGCATAGCACTGGGGTTGCATCTGTCCTCAATCTCTGCGAGGTTCTTCTCCATGATTGTGATGCTTGTGCTACTGAAACAGAATGTGATTCCATTCAGCAGGCCACACGGAACTTGGATCGAAGGTGGCGGAATATTTGTGCGATGTCAATGGAAAGGCGACTCAAGTAAGTATTTGGCCAAACTTTAGATGATTCTCCAGATTTCTTAGAATGGAATGAAGTCTGCCCAGTTCTTAAATTAAATGCCTGTTAATGGATATAAGCTACATAGGTAGTCCATAGAGCAGCATGAGGCTTCCACATGGGTAAAACTTCTTTCCATACAGATTCTGCAGTGAGAGCTAAACTTAAGCTAAAAAGTCTCACTGCTGAATTATCTAATACAAAACTGAAGATCTAGATGACATGCTCCATACAAAAGTTTCCAGATACAGTCTCAACATCTCAGAAATAACTGGTAAACATTGTGATCTAAAACCTGGAGAGTAATTCTCAAGCAACAGAAATAATGTTAGGAAGATAGGCTAACTAGGTTAAAGACAGATTTCTACAACCATATGGAAATTATGTGTTTTAGGGTGTTAATTAACTGATAGTTCACCTTGACAACCATTTTTGGCATGCCGATGATTTATAGTTCAATGCTCTGCTTCCTGATATGGTTTGGATTCAGTAAGGCATGATAGATACACCTATTTGTTAATGCAGAATGGTGTGCTTGTAACTTTTTTTAAACTTCTTAATTTAAGCAGCTGTAAGTTGTACAGTCCTGAAACTTTTCTGCTCAGCTCTTTCTTTATAGTGCAGTGTTAAAAAGCTCAAAATAATTACATGATTTCAAATAAGGATTTGCAATATTTTAAGAGGGGAAAAGAACAAACCATAGCCACTTTATTCCAGCTCAAGCTGAATTCAGCCAATGTTTTATGTTGCTTATTAATCAAAATTACTGTCAAGCTTGGTTAAAAGCCAGTTATTGTTCAGTACATTTTTTGTTTGCTTGGGCATGCTCAAGTATGCAACATGATTTCCTTGTTACAGTTGGTAACTAGATGATGTATCAAATAATAATTAAGGTGAAATTCAGACTATCCTATTTTTATCTTTGTTTCAGAATTGAAGAGACTTGGAGACTGTGGCAGAAGTTTTTGGATGATTATTCTCGTTTTGAAGATTGGCTGAAAATTTCTGAAAGGACAGCTGCTTTCCCTACTTCTTCTGGGGTATTATATACAGTTGCTAAGGAAGAACTAAAGAAATTTGAGGTGACTTGTTCTGCTTGAAATATAATCTCCTCTGATGCTGTCACAGAAGCAAATTTGTTCTACCCTATTAGAACACGTCATCCTCTAGTAATTTCATTTTAGTGAAAAATCAAATTCTAGCTTCAATCTTGGAGAAAAGGGCTTTGAAACCACAAGAGTAGATCACAGATTGTCCACCCTGTCCTAAACTATAATTAAAATGAATTAGCACACTTAATTCATATGCACTGGCCATTGTAAGGCCATAGTCAACTATGATTTAGCTTCCATATGCCCAGTGGCTCTTGTCTTCAAATGGTGCAATTGATTTTGAACAGGTAGTCATGTCATCCCAATAGAACAGCATATTGGCTTTTGCTAGCAAGAGCAATAAACAGGGTACCTGTGGTTTGTGATTGTTGGGCTGTTGTTGTTTTGTTTTTTAGTTTCCCTCTCTGGCTCATTCTGCCCAGAAAAAAACATAATGCTAGTTGGAAATGGAAGCTTTTCCCACCTCTTCCTTTCTTTCAGTTGAGCCAGAGCAAAATGAAGGAAGCAGCAACTGCCCCAGCCAAGGCTGATAGATGTAATGCAAACTATATTTGTGACCACCAGAGAAGAAAATACAGGAGAATGAGATCAGAAGGCTTGCTGTTACTATCCAAAACAGAGAATTTTTTTACAGATGAATACATTCTCTGTTTTCTATTTCAGTGTAAAAATAACAGCATAGACTTGAATTCATCTTTATTATCCCCTTTTTCTATTTTATTGACTTTTTAATTTTGAAACTATATTCCGTCCTTCCTTTTGCTTCCCATTTTAATTATTTCAAACCATTGCCATCTTATTTAAGTAGGACTTAGTCTTGCAATCACTAATATCCAAACGTCTGTTTATATGAATGAATCAATCTATTTCTTGAATGAAAAATGTTCCTTGCTTTCCATTCCATTCATTTCATTTCCGTTTTCCTTACTGAAGAATCATGCAATTTATTCTACTAAATAAAACTCAACCAAGTATATTTTATTAGTTATTAAAGCTGTGTTCCTTTATGGGCTTTTTCTATGTATTTTGTTTCATTTTCTTTTATCTAAGTGCATTTCAATTTTCTGTCCACTTAGGCTCCTAAATTGTGTGCTTACTGCAGGCAAAAGAATGTGCCTATTTAAAAAAAGCTGTTCAAACATATTTTTACTTTGCTTTGAAATTGTCTGCTATGTCTACATGCTCCTGTAGATATTATAGAATAAGTATTTAGGGTGAGTGGAAGTAAAGGAAAGCTCACTTAATAGTTTATAAAGAGGAACATGTCAATGTGTCTGATACAAGAAAAGCTGCATTCCTGAAATTTCATCTTTTACATGTTTTTTTAAAGACAAGAGAGCATTACTTTTTTGCATATGGTATAAGGATTTTTAAAGCATAGATTTATATTTGCTTTAATGCATTTCTTCCTTACCCAGATGCTTTAGCTAAGCTTAATAGGGAAAATTACTATAGTCATTTACAAGAGCAAAAGAACTGTCAGTTTTAAGCTTTGCATTTCTCCAAAATAACTACAATATTAGTTTTTATTTGAGTAGTAAAATGTGGTGCAGATTTAAAAGAGTTTGCTCTTCTGAAAATTCTCAGCTAAAGTACAATTAAATTGAACAAACTAGAATATCGGTATAGAAGTACATCATTGTTAAGATGGTAGAAAACATTCCAGCTGTCATTCCTCTGGACAAATGTTAGTAACAGATGAAACTACAAATGTGGTTGCCTTAACATAAGCCGCTCTGTTTAAAACATTTAATCTTTCTTACTGATTCAAACAGGTGGATTTGTTTTTCTGGATTTATTTTACGGAGTTTTTATTATTGTTGTCCAACTGAATTCTTTATATAATTTCCACCGTACTCTGTCCCTTCTTATTTAATTTCCCCACCTATCTACATTCTGCACTGACATTTAAATTGAGTTTATCATTTATGAGAAGAACCCTTGGAGGTTATTTGTTGCTTCAGATTACATAGCTCATTTTTGTCCTTGGCTGCAACCTGCTGCACAATTGTCTGTTTTCATTTTAATCATGGTGATTGCCAAAATATAAAGGAGCAAAAACAACACAGAGTTGATGTTGATTGCCATGAATGTGTCTATAGATTATTTTGTTCTGTTACATCTGGTGATTCAAGGATAGCATTTAACCCCTGAAAGTTATTGATCTCTCCTTGGTGGATACTGAGTATGCACTCTCTCTTTTTCTCTCTATCTCTGTTGTGGTCCACCTATACAGACTAATTCTGTATGATATAGTTACATTACCATGCATTCAAGCTTATTTAGTTAATAAACTATGTCTGCGTGTCTATCTTTTATTCTGGGGTTCTGAGAAATCCATTCCATTATTTTAACTGTATTAGCACTTTGTCATAAATAGAGTAGAGGAATATAAAGGCACAGTTAAACATTTTTGTATAAGAATATTTGTTGTGATGCCTGCCTGCTCCCAAAATGCCATGTTTTAGAAACTTGTCCTGCTTCATCCTGAGTATCAATGCGCACCTGACTTTTTAACAAGTTCACAGTTTGACAATAGTTGGTATAACACAGAGATTTCATGTATAACAAGTAGTTCTTAATATGTCAAGAAAAGAACTGCCAACATGAAATAGCTATTTTTGCACAGGAAAAAAATGCTTCCAGTAACAAACTTTAGCACAACTTTTATGTAAACAAAGCCCACATCTTCCCCTCCAGTATGGCAGGGAATAAAATAGGATGTAAACGCCTTGATAATAATTTCTCTCTGGTAGAATTGTTACCAGATACAAGAAAAAAATCCATACCAAGAATAATGATTATAGGGGCCACATTTTAATGGGTTATTTTGTTCTACATTTTGTAGGCTTTTCAGCGACAAGTTCAAGAAAGTTTGACTCAGCTAGAACTGATTAACAAACAGTACCGCCGCTTGGCCAGAGAAAATCGTACTGATTCTGCTGGCAGCCTCAAGTTGATGGTCCACGAAGGAAACCAGAGATGGGATAATTTGCAAAAACGAGTGATCTCCATCCTCCGCAGACTTAAAGTATTTCTCCATTTTCATTCATTTATTGCAGTGGTATATGTTTCTGCAGGTGAAGGGACAGTTTTAAGAATAGCAGTTTTCTCTCTCTCCTTAATACCGATATGTTTGGATTTTGTCTCATTTTGTTTTAAATGTTTAAAGGTATGTACTGATGTGAAAAAGTTGAATAGTTTGGTTTAAGTAGCTATCCTACATTTTCTTTTTTATAGCATTTCATTGGCCAGCGTGAAGAATTTGAGACAGCACGTGACAGCATTTTGGTCTGGCTTACAGAAATGGACTTACAGCTCACCAACATTGAACATTTCTCAGAGTGTGATGTTCAAGCAAAGATAAAGCAACTCAAGGTACAGAAATACAAATCTAGAGGGCCACAATAATAAAAAGCATAGCAGTTTCTATCGTTAACTATACTTTTGTATGCAACATAATATGTATGAAGGGAAACTAGTAAGTTTTAAAATTCATCACACACCATAAGCAAGGATTCATGCAATAATTTTATTGTATGAAGAATACAATAGCACCACCTGGAGTTGCTTTTTTATGAGATGGACAGCTATATAAATATGATAAATAAATATATATTAGTAACAGGCTAAAACAAGCTGTATTTACAGCAAGTACCATTTAACATATGGGACTGAAATTAGTGACTGCTTTAGTTTTCCCTACCAGGTTTTGAGAAGGAGAAAAAACGTCCAGGGTGAATCTCTGCCACCTTTGGAGGGTCAGATATCGTCCTAACACATAGGTTCTTCTCCTCAAATCCTATGCCCCAGAGTAGTATTTTAAAAAGAAAGAAGCCTCTACCCAGCTGGACTCTTCATTTTTTGTCCCAAGTTTGGCGAGAAGAGGAGGATAGGCAGGAGACAACCACCACAAGGCCATCACGACAAGATCCCTTAGGAGATTTTAGAAGCACGCTTGTTTGAAATAATATTCTTATGTTTTGATTATAATTGTTTATCTTGCTTGAAAACTGTTTTGGGGTGATTCGTATCCTGAAAGAAAGGTAAAAAATAATTGCAATAAATCAATAATAGTAATATTTTTTGCATAGCTTCTGAAGAGAATAGTTGCTAAACAAAGTAGCCGCTAAATGAGGAGTGGCTGTAGAAATCTTTGCTGGAGATAAAATAAACCAGTTTATGTACCAGAAATATACAGCATGTACCAAAGGTCAGGCCCCATAAACATTGTCAGGCTCCATAGACAAAATCAGACCCCATGGACAATTTATTATATAAATTACATTAATACATAGGTTGCCATTTTCTTCTAAGCACTTCCTGACTTATTTGACACATGACCTTTGAAAAAAAAATTAATTAATAAAATATATAGTGATTGGCCTCTGGGACCTGACTTTTCCTATACCCTGTATAATAAATTACAATATGTTTTTCAGGCTTTTCAACAGGAGATCTCATTGAATAACAACAAAATTGAGCAAATCATTGCCCAGGGTGAACAACTGTTAGAAAAGAGTGAGCCTTTAGATGCAACTGTCATTGAGGAAGAGTTGGATGAGCTGCAACGTTATTGCCATGAGGTCTTTGGCCGAGTGGAAAGATATCATAAAAAACTAATTCGTCTTCCAGTAAGTGTTAACTTTTCTACACCAATATTTACACATTTCTTAGTTTTTAGACATCACTGTAGACTCTGTGTGCTCTTGTTCAAGCACCCTACAGAGATAGGGCAGATTTGGATAATTCATGATCTAAGTGCATCCCCTCAAACCCCATGTTATGCAGCCACTAGAGCAGGCCAGCACAAATTGTAGAGGAGAAGGGGCCACACTGATAAATTAAAAATAATTGTGGGCCGCAAAGGAATACCTTTTGTGCTGATCAGCTCTTCGGTGGCTAGCGGAGCAGCAGCAGCACCGGAACTGGAGGCATCGGTGAGGCCTGAAAGCATTGGAGGCACTTGGCAGCATGTCTTTCCAGGAGGTAGTGATGTTTAACAGCAGTGAATTTATTGACTTTTTTAAAAATGCCAGTGGGCCACACACAGCTGCTTGGCAGGCAGCAGGCAGCCCATGGGCTGTATGTTGTGCAGGCCTTCCCTAGAGCATGCCCAACTGCTGAAATTTGGCAGTGAAACTACAGTTTTGGGAAAATAATGTTTATGGTTGGGACACAAAATAGACGCATTAAGCCTCTTAAACCTTCACCTTGTTTTTTAAAGTCCCCTAGCCACCTAGCCTGCAGTGTTAAAAGTAACACTGCAAAAAAAAAGGTCACTCACCTTTCGACTAAGAGATGCTACTTTAAACTTTAAAGTTCTGAGCTAACCATTTATCCTGAATCTTCCCTGTGTTTCTGTGAGGAAATAAACTTTTTTACATTGAGGCATTTTTTTCAATCTTCAAAGTGATCCCACAAAGTGAAGTCTGGAAGAAAGATCTGGAAAACAACCTAAATTAATTGGTGAAGTGATAAAATGCAAAATGTGAAAGAAAAAGAGCTAGTGCTTTTCCAACTTATGTCTTTCAACTGTTTTTAATCTTGAGAGAATGGATGTCATGCAGTGACACCTTTGTCCTCTTGACCTAGCAAGTAGTAGAATGTCCCCTTCTGAAAAGTATTCATTATTGTCTAATGTCTCCTTCTAGCTCACAGACGATGAGCATGAGTTATCTGACCGTGAAGTGGATCTGGATGAATCAGCAGATCTTTCTGACCTGCACTGGCATGACAAATCTGCAGACAGTGTTCTTTCCCCGCATCCTTCCTCCATGCTTTCGCTGTCCCTTCCCCAGCCTCTCCGAAGTGAAAGATCAGGGCGGGATACTCCAGCTAGTGTAGATTCCATTCCCTTGGAATGGGATCATGACTATGACTTGAGTCGTGACTTGGAGACAGCAGTTTCAAGAGCACTGCATTCTGAAGAAGAGGGTCAGGAAGACAAAGATTTTTATCTTCAAGGAGCTACAAGCCTAGCAGGTAAAATCTATCAACCATCAACAACATTCCTCTATATGCTTCCTCAGAGAACTTCTTAAATAAGATCATCTCCCTTCAACCAACCTTTATGCTTGTGGTGTTTGATGTAAGGTTACAGGGCCACTTCTAGTTTTGAAAATCTTTACTAATATTCTCCATCTGGCACAGAAGGAACTAGTGAGATAGATCAAAATGGACTTATTAGATGACATTGCACAATTGGTTTTAATAATTATAGGGAAAAGGAGAAAAGACACATTCCAAGAAAACATTTGGCTTAGATAAAATAATTGAACCTGTAGTTATTGTTGTTCTTGTTTATTTGGAAATTGTGGCTCTTTGTCATGTCCCATGTGTGAATTAGTAAAGGGAATCTTGTTGTCTCCCAGTGCAGCAAACCCACACTGGCATGTGCATAAAGCAATGGCATTTATATGACTGGTTTAACATATGATAGCCTAACCCAGGTAATCATCAGCTCACTCTGACTCAGGGATGCTGGTGTACATTCAGAAAATGTTATAGGAGACATACATTTGACATCATTGGGATCTGGAATGTAGATACATAGGAATAAATAACTCTTTTTGATTTGTAGGAGTAGGCTAAACTTACCTAGTTTGAATGATTGGTCCTGAAGAATAAAAAACACAATGTAGGTAACTCAGCATCTTTTAATAAGTCAGTTTCTGATCCTATGGAAGAATGGAAAAGTATAAGAAAATATGTTTGATCCTATCTCCAGTTACCCAGAAATAAATACCGTGGATTTCTATAAGATTTCCTTCCAAACGCACATAGAAATGCAATCAAAACTCAGTATATATTTACTGTAATTCTTCATTATATTCTCTGAATCACACATAGGGATTTCTGTGTATCTGTGATGCACTCCCTGGAATACTCAGGTGCTGAAAGAAACTTTTCGCAGGAATACTGCCACTGTGTAACATATATACATAGGTGTGCTTTCCACTGTCCTCTCAGTTTCTCATCAAACTCCATAGCAGGGGGGGTTGTTTTTGTTTTATGTTTTCCTTGTCACATTGCCACGAAAACACACTTTGTAAAAATCCAGCATTGCAGCAGTAATGCTGCCTTCACACTAACATTTGTTCTGCTTAATTTGTTTTGAAAAAGTTGGATACTGTCCACATTGTTAGGGGTTTATTAAGCAGGTATCAAACCAATAGTAGGCATCTCCAATCAAATTGGTTTGTAAGACTCCTGATGGATCTTCTTTCTAGCGTCAAGATTCTTAGCTTTGCTACCCCAGGCAGTTCTTCCTCCCCTCCATGGGATGGAAACACTGTCATTCTATTCAGGAAGGCATTCAAATCCAGGCCCTGAGTGATAAGCAGCACCAGCTCCCAGATCTAACATCTATGCCACACCGAACTGTCAACGCCTCATCAGAAGTTAGCCATTGTTCCTCAGCAAACAGAGACTTTGAATGTGACATTTCTTCATAATTTAACCAAGAAATTCAGCCACATACTCAGTGGATGCTGAGGCTGGCAAGTAAGTATTGCTCTCACCAGGGGAATACATGAGATTGTATACCAAGCAGATCACAGTTATGGCAAAATCCTTGGGTCTTGAGATCAAGACTCAAAGAGAACCCTTTTAGGATCCCATTTTGATTCCATCCACAGCACAGGCTCAATGCCATTATTAATCCCAATGATGTCAGCATACTTCAAGAAGTCATGGGTAAACCATTCTGTATGCAACCAACCAACTGCCCGTCTCCTGACATGGGGATGCCCTTTCCCCTGTGACAATGAGACAATGCGTAGCTTGAATGCTTGCCAGAGCAATAGTGCAGAGTATAAATCAAATAAGAATAAAATATTTGCAGCGGATTCTTAGGTGACAAAGTGCTTTACCTTTGGACAAATTGACTGTTCTACCTCTTTCCTTCCAATCTGCTTCTGATCCAAAAAATATAAAAAATCAGTCTTGGTGGCATCCACTACATCATGATCAAACCCTGGTTCAGCCTTATCTCTGACTAGTTTACTATGGAAATTACACACACACACACACACACATACACACACACACATATGCATATATACTTATTTATTCATTCATTCCTCACATTTATATAGCCACTAGCCACCCATCTCACAAACATGACTCTGGGCAGCATACAATAAAAAAAACAACCTTAAAAAACAAACATTAAAAACATTCCACAATAAGAACATCAATATCATTTTTTTTAAAAATGATACGATAATTTTTTTTTTAAAAATGTAAAAACTAGAAGAGGACACTTTCGATGTTCCAGACAATGCAGCCATCTCACCAGTTCTCCATTTCCCTGAGATCCTGTTGACAGAGCCACATTTTGAGGGACTTCCGGAAGGCTACCAGGGATAAAATACAAGATAGGGATGGAGCTCTAGCCAAAGTCTCTCTCAGCATTATGTTTCAAGAAAGGCAAGTGTATGTGGCAATGCCACAGGCCACAGGCCAATTGAAAAAGTTACAAGTAAGTAACTAATTCTTAGAAAAATTATTGAATTTGAAAGGGATAAGCATCATGGAATGTACATGCATGGTAATTTGCATCTGGTCATGGTATTTTCTTACACTATATTTACCTGCAGGTACAAAATTATAGAATAGATTCTAACTTATGTTTACACTGGATTTTAGATCTCTCTTTACTTGAAGTGCCTCTACTATTATGTAAGAAGACTTCTACTTGTATCAAGGGGTTCCCCTTACACTGCCTCTTTATACTACCCATGGTTTTGTCAGATGTGCTCTGGAGCCCCCTAAACATCTAGAATAGACTAGAAAAGAGCTCTGGGATCTGTGGATGGGAGAGAAAATTTATTTCATCAATGATTTCTGTTGCAGCAACATAGTATTGGATATAAACTGTTCTCGGCAGTTTAACTGAGTCACTTGAATTCTTGAAGATTTCTCAGAGGACACTATGATTAATTTCAGTTCTTTTTGCCTAAACAATACGTGGAATAAAGTAAATTGGTAGTTTATTCTCTTCTTTTGAAATTCACAGATTCCCTTCAATAATTATTGCTAAGCAATCAATGGCTGTGTTTTATCTTTGCAGATATAGTGATTCCTGAGAGCCCTGAAGCCTATGTAAAACTTACTGAAAATGCTCTCAGAAATGTCTGTGGTAGGCATTAAAAAGCCTAAAATTGCTATAATCCTAATATCTGTACTAGACACTTTGTAACACATCTGCTGCTTTATTCATTATTTAACCAATCACTCTAATTCACTCAGAAGCACCAGCACCTTGAAAGAACATTTTCTGACACAAGAACTACCTTGTAAAATACTGTTGCTTCCAGTTGGATATTTGGCGAAATTTGAGGTCTCTTTTTTTTAAAGTATAATACAGAGTAATAGCGTTAACAACCCTGTTTCATAGTATCTGAGCTGGGGGAAAAAATTGCATCACTCTATTGTATTCGCTTCAAATAAGAAATACTAATATCTGTGGATCATCAATCGTACAAATCTATTGTGCTGTACCACAATAAGGGAGGTTTTGCAAGGCCAATAAAACCTTAGAGGTGGAACTGAAAGAGTTACAAAAGAATACAGTGTCAGGTTGGGTTTCCCGCTCTGGATTATCTGATCCTCTTGTGCAGTCTGAAGATACTGGCTGGCCTCTGCTCCGGCAAGTTCTCCTCCCTCATTTATGTTCCACACACAGACATCTGATCTATTCCTCGGTTTCCGTGTTTCTATTTAGAACTTGCATCGGAAAAGACGGATTTGGTGCCACCAACAATTTTTACCATGCTGAGAGGTGGCTATAACTGGATTTTATTCTATAGGAGTTGTTTTTAAGCATGAGATATGAATGCTGAATATTCTCCAAATATTTTTGAATATGGCTATAATGAAGGAGGGTATTGCATCTTTTTTTGATAGCAAAAATGTATCCAGTGGTCATTTTTGTTGCTATGCGGTTCAGTTTTCTGCTTTAAAAAACCCTATACAACAGAGACATATAAAACCCAAATATCCAGGGTTTTGGACATACCATGTTCCTTGCGTGCTAGAAAACTAGGAATAGACTTAAGGAAGCTTGAGAGTTACAATTCTGAATTTGGAAGAAAATCATTGGATCACTCCAATTTTGTATTCTTTTGTAATTCATCCAAAAGTAGTCAGTTGTGTTCATCTGGGATATACTACTGCAGCCTGAGACAAAATGTAGGATATATGAAATTATTTGAAAGGAAAACAGAATGTAGTTTTTTTCCCCAAACTCTCTCCATATTTGCCTAGCCAGAATACCACAGATACTTTAAAATGTCTGAAGGTGCAATAATACAAGTTGTAGAATATTTTGACCTCCATTCAGAGTTATTTCTAAAAATGAATTGCTTTGGTCAGCAGTGTATATTTCTCCTAAAAAAAAAAAAAATCACTTGTCCTCAGTTACTGACCCATTTGCAAATTACTTACAAATTTGATTTGTCACAGACATGTTATTCAGTCAACCTTTGTCATGCTTCCTAACCTAATTAACATCAGTCTCCATTTTTATCAGTCTGAGATGTTTTAGCGCTTGAGTTGGTAACATCTCACCTGTGTAATTACTGCAGGAGAACCAGGTTCCTTGGAAACACACATTCGGCAGCTGGACAAGGCTTTAGACACTAGTCGTTTCCAAATACAGCAAACAGAGAATATAATTCGCAGCAAAACACCGACAGGGCCTGAGCTAGATTCTAGCTACAAAGGATATGTAAGTACTATGAGCATTGCCACCTAGTGGCTGGATGTAAAATTAAACTTCTTGAAGTACAGAATGGCAACCGCTAACCTTGAAAAGAATGTGAAGTGCCATGGTCCTAATAAATTAATAGTTACATAAGCTGTCCCGGGCCACAAGCCCATTTTGAAACATGCAAACTATGAGGCGGTTGGACCAGGACTATTCAGGATATAAATCAATAAATACATGCAATAAATACCATAGTTGCAAATACTAGCTGAAATTATGGGTTCTTGCACAAGAAGAAATAAATGCTATTTATACCTCAACTGTTTTACTCCTCCTCAGCAGCCATGCAAATAAATAATAATTCACGCATTCTTGCACTGAATCTTAGTTCTGAGTTTTATCTATTTTAATACTTTGTAAAACAATTGGCAAAGAAGCCTATATTTTTTTCATTGTTGTGTTTTCAGTGCATTATATGCCGCTTCTAATTAATGTTTTGTAGTAACAGAACATTTCAGTTTTTCAAGTTCAGACTTTACAGGGTATGGATTTTTTTTGTGTGACACAAGACAAATATTGTTATGTACTATTTCTAAAAGAACTGCAACTAGCTTCAAGACAGAGGCAGAATCTTCCTTTAGACTTGCAGTAATTAAAAACCAGTCATATTGTGGAACAAATAGAAGGTGAGGAAAAGAATTAGAGAAAATAAGAGTGAAGAAATGCACTTTCATATTTCTTGAATATTATCATGGAGAAAGAATGTCAGATTAACATTTCCATGGAAGGATATTGTAAACAAAAAAAAATACAAGTGAGAAATAGAGTTGGTAATTGATAGTTTCAGTTGTGGGAAGAAATGGGGGAAAGGAAGGCAAATCCAAAAACAGGTTTTGAAGAACTGTGTGAAATTTGACGAATTATGATCTGGACATATGGCTACAAAAAGCCCCTCCGCCTATTGGGTAAAATCAAGTATAGTGTGTGTAGTGTAGTACAAATGCAGTGATCCAAGTAAGTTACAATCCATATTAAATTATTATCAAAATAAGATGAAACCCAAAATAACTAAAATGGTCTTTTGCCCATCAAAGTCTTAGCTATTTCAAGCTAAATTGTGGGAATATGATTACTGAAAAGTTATTTGGGGGATTTTTTAAAAAACAGATGAAGCTTCTGGGTGAGTGCAGCAGGAGTATAGATTCAGTAAGGCGGCTTGAACATAAACTGAAAGAAGAAGAGGAAAAGCTGTCTGGATTTATTAACCTGAACAGTACAGAGACACAAACAGCTGGTAAGTAATATTCAAACCTCCCACCTAAATATGTAGCGGTAATGATTTACAACACAAGATTAAAGAGCGCAGAGCACTACCCGAACATCTGAATGCCCTCTTTTTCCCAGGCCTGTTGTATTCCATTAGGACTTACAGTGAGATTAGAGGTGTGGTCCTACTTGACAGGACATACCTTGAGATCCGCTAGGAATCACACAATTAATGTTTCTGATCTTTCGCTGCCCTTTTCTGACTTTTGATTTTGAGGCACAGGCAGATAATAGTGTTGAGGCAACTTCAGTATGCTTGGAACTTGACTTTATCAGGGTAACATTGTTGGTATTTAATTAGTTTCTGAAATATCTCTAAGAATATACCAAGATTTGTGATATTATCTCTTCTTTTAATCAAATCAGTAGCGTCCACGGGAGGCAAGAAGAGACAGAACAACTAAAGCAGCATCACAGCATCACAACTTAAGCCTTGATCCTTTTATGCATACATTGTGGCATTATCCATTTATGTGAAAGGAGCAGAGCTTACAGAATGATGCTGCAACACTGTCACTCTGAAAAAATCAGCAAGCTCCTGTGAATGCCAATGAATCAAATATTTTCTATTCAACATTTAACAGTTTTCTTTAAAGATTAGTTTCCGGTCATCTTATTTTTCATTTTCTAAGAATCTTTTATAGTTTTAGAGCATCTGTATTCTAGAATCTTGTTCATTTCTGGATTAAATGGAAACTACTGATGCAGGTGAACTCATTGAAAGTGAATTTGAAAAAAAAATAGGTCTGGCATAATTATGGTGGTAGTGTAATATTTTGGTTGTAAATAAAAATATAAAAACTATTTTTAATAGAAATTGATATAATCTGGTCAGATTGAACACTTTGAAATGCTTCTAGAACTCTTTGTAGTAATAATAACATGACATACAGTTTTTTTAATGAAAAACCCTCCATTACTAATAATGTAAGTTAGTAATGTACTAGATATTGCCTTGGAAAATGGGTAGGTTTTTTCTTGGACAAGAATTCACAGCTATGATTCAAAAAGCCTTATGAAGTCTGGTCAAAGTAATCCTGGTCCCATTTCCTCTGAGGAGGTCTTAAAGAGTCTTGTTCTGCAGACATTCATTCCTTGTCCCAGGGCTGATTCTTGTAGATTTGCAGCTACATTTGTAGTCCTTGTTTAATGACAACTCGTTCAGCGGCCATTCAAAGTTACAACAGCACTGAACAAGGAGATTTATGGCTGGTCCTCAAAGTTGCGGCCTTCGCAGCATCCCTGCAGTCACGTGATCACAGTTGGGTGCTTGTCAGTCAGCTCTCAATTATGATGGTCGCAGCGCCCCAGAGTCATATAATCACCATTTGCAACCTTCACAGCCAGCTTCCAACAAGCAAATTTAATGGGGAAGCCAGCAGGAGGTTGCAAATGGCAATCACATGATATCGTACTTAACCACACGGGTTAGTTCCAACTGGAACTGCCGCAACTGCTGTTGTAAGTTGGTGCAATCATGTGACATCACACTTTACAACCATGTCACTTTGTGACAGAGCTGCTGGTCCCAATTACCATCGTTAAGCAAGGATTACCTCTATTGGTTTACTTTTTAATTAGGCTTTATACCACTCGGTAACAGGGTTCTCTGGATAGTATACAGCCAGTAAAAATATAAAGCTTATAAAAAAACAAAACTATGTAAATGTAGCATAAAACATGCGAACAACTTAAAAACTTAAGTAGGTGACAGGATAACCCATAAGGTAAAACCAGGAAAAGCCTATTGCAAATAGGGCACCTTCACCAACAAACTTCGGTATCTTAACAGTTTTACCTTGCCTCATTGCCTACCCTGTAGTATATGGAAAAGAGCCTCAGGCAGGTCAATCTTAGGGTTTGGCCAGCCAAATATGAGGGATGAGGAGACCCTTCTTCAGATAGTCTTCCATCTTCTTACAATAAATAAATAGATATGAAGGACAATAACTTTTCATTTGGTGTACTTTTCCTAACTGTATCCTCCTCTGAGCTTAAATTTGGATCAGAACTCAGGGATGTAGCATACCCATTATGTCAGATCCATCCAATGTCTGGTACAAGGTAGCAGTGGCACTTATGATAACCCTGTGCTTCTGTTTTTATTGTAGGGCTGAATGGCATCTGTCTGCTCATGTGGTTAACTGAACCCAGAAGGGGGAGTAGGAAAGGCTGAGATGGGAACTCATTCGGGGTCTGGTGTCTTCACCATACTTAGTATGATGAAACATTGGGAAGATCAGTTGGGCAGAAGGTTAAGAACTGACTTTTATAAAGCAAGGTCTTCTTTTCTTAGGTGTGATTGATCGATGGGAGTTAATTCAGGCCCAAGCCTTAAGTAAAGAACTGAGGATGAAGCAGAATCTCCAACAGTGGCAGCAGTTCAGTTCTGATCTAAACAACATCTGGGTTTGGCTGGGCGAAACTGAAGAAGAATTGGAACAATTGCGTTGCCTTGATCTTAGCACAGACATACAGGCCATCGAGCTCCGGATTAAAAAACTGAAAGTAGGTTTTCAGTTTCAGTTTGTTTTAATGCTGTCTTTCTAAGCTTGCTTGCTTGTTTGTTTATTCAGAGAGAATGAGTTTAATTTCCTTTCATGGATGTTTCCTTGAAGTCAGCAGAAGTTGAGGTAGACTTGAAGGAGGTTTTATCTTTTTATACCAAGATGTTTTTTTCAAAATGCTTTATTGTTAGAAGATCAAAGCCCCATTCCCCACACACATTTTATGAAGTAAAATTATCAGGTTACCTACAAAATTTTCTCCCTTCCTAAATTTGCATTGAAACTACTAAAACAGTACTATTTCTTCAGGTGTAGATAACCTTTCACAGGCAGATTATGAACTCAGCCTGATGTCTGCCAGCACTTAGGCGTATATGTGTTTTCAAATACAGCCATGCCCATAGGCTTTAATTTCTAAAACAGTGTATTAGTTTGTTATAAATTCTGCTGTAAATGGTAAGAGATTTAAGAAATGCTTATTACTACCCAGCTGTCAGACATAATTTCATAAATATAGCACAATAATAATAACTAAGAAAAAATATTTAACTATCTTGAATTGATGAAACTTTGAGATGGAGAAGTTTGTTTTTTGGAAAGGTTCTAGCGGTTTTTTCTATCTTCTTTTCCTCTCTACCATCGCCACCTTATTTTCAAGGAGCTACAGAAGGCTGTTGATAATCGCAAAGCCATCATTTTGTCCATCAATCTATGCAGTTCGGAATTTATGCAGTCAGACAGTGAGGAAAACAAGAGACTGCAGGAACAACTGTCTCAGATGAACATGCGCTGGGACCATGTCTGCTCTATGTTAGAAGAATGGCGCTGCTCCCTACAGAGTGCTCTCATGCAATGTCAGGTCTGTTCTGGTTTGTACAAAACTTTCTTCTTGGTGTCCTGGATACAGTGCAGTATATGTGCACATGATCGTGCCCTGCTTTGAAAATGTTTTGGACATTAAAAGACCCTTTATTTTTCTCCTTGAAAGGTAACTTTTATAAGATTTCAATTATAATTAAGTTACAGTTTCCTAATTTTTTTCCTGAAATCTACGGGGCATATTTTCTCTCTTTTTACTATCACTTAGCAAAATGGAAAAGTAACAAGCCTTATACAGGGTCCTGCATTAAAAAAAAAAAAAAATTAGTTCACTCCAGGCTGTAAAATACAACAGGATTCAGAACTAAAAGCTCAATGTCATCTAAGATATGCTTTGTTCCATTTTCACACTATCTACATATTCCCTAGTTCTCCAAATCACAGTTTAGCGTATCAAGAATATGACATACTGTACATATTCTTGATACTTCACATCATGCCTTTCTTCATCTCCTTTCTTTCTTCCCTGTAAATACTTATCTGATTAGCACGCTTTTTGGCCTACCATGACCTCTACTTTAGAAAAGTCTACCCAAATCAGTATTGCAAATCTTGGTGTGCTCCTTGTCTGCAGGAATCATTTAAATCACAAGTCTGCTAGCTCAAACATTACAGTGATCTACAGTTTTAATAAATCAGAAAGTGTTTTGTTCAAATAAATTTTAAAGGGAGGAGGGAGATACATGCACAGAGCTCATTCCCAACATTTCAAGCAACAGCTTAGAAGAACAAAGAATGTGACATCTGGCTGTAGCAGTAGAGTAGCTATGTAGCGTGTTTGATATTAAGCTCTTACCCATTGCTTTTAGGATTTCCATGAGATGAGCCATGGCTTGTTGCTATGGCTTGAGAACATTGACAGGAGGAAGAATGAAATAGTACCTATCAGTCCAAATCATGACTGTGATACTCTGCAGGATCATCACAGACTCCTAATGGTAGTATACTTTTATTTTAATAAACATGTGTATAGGAATCTCTGGAGAACATTAGTGGGGAAATAAGTGACAGTGTAAAATCTTGTTTGGGTGATTTATTGATTATGGTTAATTCTTTACTACTTACTAGAAGGTTGTTTCAAATGATTCCTCAGAGGGAGTATCCTTTGAAGGAGTATTCAATTCAATTCAGTTCAAATCAAATTCAATTTATTACAGCCATTAGCCAACAAAGGGAGATCATCATTATCTGATAGAGCTTACTGTGAATCCCAAAATCTTAGCTTAGTATGGAAAGCCATCATTCTGTTGTTGTTTTTAAACAGAAACAAAAGTCTTATCAATTTCTTCATGTCAGGCCAAGAGAAACAGTGATTTCTGCAAACTGAATGTTATTTTGGCCGCTTATACATTGTTTTCAGTTGCAAAATGTGCCACCTTTGTTCCCCACAGCAAATACGACGTGAGCTTCTAGAATCTCAGTTAAAAGTAGCATCTCTTCAAGACATGTCCTGCCAACTGCTAGTCAATGCTGAAGGCAAGGATTGTCTGGAAGCCAAAGAAAAGGTGCATGTCATCGGAAACAGACTGAAAATGCTCCTGAAAGATGTCACACGTCACATTAAAGAACTAGAGAAGATTCTAGATATTTCAAGTAGTCAGCTGGTAAGTCTTTTTATTACAGGTATATTCTGATCATGGCAATTTATAATAGCCAATTTCTAACCAATTTGCACTTTTGCTACCTGAGAGCCTTTCTTTCTTTGTTCTTTTTGTACTTTTGTACTTTGACATGTACTTCTCATGTTAAAATCTGTAAACCTTAAAAGTACTATCATGCTTTTTAGATCATATTTATTTATTTATCTATCATATTTATATATACTACTTCCTTGGTATGATCTAAATTTTAACTAATTTTTGCAAACTATATGCTATACATGTATATAGCATACATGTTGTTATATGTGTGTGTGTGTGTATGTTTGTGTGTATATGCTATACATGTTCAGAAAGGGTATCTTGAATACTACCATTGTGCTCCTCTTTCCTGCAAACATATATCAGTATCCACATATACTGTCCAGTATATTTCTCTGTACAGAGAAATTAAAAATGGGATTGATTATTGAGTACATAACACCTCTTACCACCTCTGTAAAGACAAACTTTCTTTCATAGCGCTCACTGCTGTGTTGATGACAAGGAAGTGAACTTTTATTAATATATTCACAAGCTAACTATGGTATAAACCCTTGATTTAATAGAATTTGGTTTACAAGAATTTGAATTTAGCAGACAAAAATCTGCTGGATCTGAGTTTTGCCTGAATTTCAGGCAATAAGGGACCTCTCCCTGAACAGTGGACAAAGTCAGCTGTTCGGCTGTTTCCCCTAAAAATGAGTATTCACTATTATTGGTGGGCTTCCTTATATATAAGTGTATTTCTGGGCTCAAAAATCTAATTCACCATTTTACCAACATTTGGCTTTAATGGACACTCCTTTCCCCCTTCTTGGGGGTTCAGTCAAGGTTTACAGCATAAACTATATTTATTTTGCTCTGTATGACATGCAGCTATATTTCACTTTGTGTGTGTCTGTGTCTTTGTGCCTGTGTGAACAGTTTTCTTACAAGTTGGCTGTATCTTCTTTATAAACTCTGTAATAGTGAAAGGGGTGGCATATGCTGAGATGTCAACAATGTGTGTTGATATCCACCACTATTCTTTTCATTCAGCACAGGTAAGCAGTAGGTATCCAAATTAGAGATTGGAGAGACAGTAGTCTAAAGGAGGGCAGTAAACTGAAAGTTATTTCAGAGAAGATAAGAGATACTAATTATGAGTCGTCTAGCTAGCGGAGTGCTATTAACCTTGTTTCCCTGGAGAGATCACTCCCCCACATTATCTGGTGTGCAATTAGGAAGGGTTCTTGACTGCCACAGAGGAACACATTGCAAGAAATAGCCTTGTGACCCTTATTTGAGTGTGCTGCTACTTTGCTGTTTTTCCTAAAAGAAAGTGATGTATATGTACACAGATTGAAAGACAGTGAGGAAGAACTTCTGAAGCAGCCTGAAAAAAGATGCGACTGCCCTCATAATTTGGTGCATTGTATGCATTCCCAGTCATTCTGAAGCGCTTCCTTCAAAAAATATCTTCAGCGCTGCTTTCTCCTTCCATATGTATCTATCTCTCTATATCCCAAGGTCCTAATTTGAGCCATTCTCCAAGTGTTCCTACCGAATAAGAAGCACTTGGAGAAAATAGTTGTAAGAGAGAGACTGTTCCAATGGAGCGCTCTTCCAAGAGACCTGCCTTTTGGGTATCAGATGAAGACCTTTTGATTTCTCCATGCATGATAAGGATTCTTTTACTGCTTTATGTTTTTAAATTGCATAACATCCAGAAAACTTCACTTATTGTGTGAGTTAAAGGTGATGGTGATGATGATGATGATGATGATGATGATGATGATGATGATGATGATGATGTTGATTGTAATTGTATAATAACCACCACTCAGGACCTATCCTCCTGGTCTTCTGCTGATGAACTGGACACATCAGGATCCCTCAGTCCAGTATCTGGAAGAAGTACTCCAAGCCGGCAGAAGATGGTAATGTTATGCCAGATACTTTTTTCCAGTTCTTGGGTGGAAGCACCAGATAGCTGTAGCCAGGTGAAAAGTCTCCAACATCTCTTGTCATAGACCAAAAAAAAGGCACCAGCCCAGAAGAATCCCCCCACCAACGCTGCTTCCTCAACCCTGTACATCTGCTTCCCTGCATCAAATCAGAATTTTAAATTTCTGTATAAGTATAAAAATCAGGACTCAAAGTGTAGCACGTGTATACATGATATGGCATGCTCCTTCCTTTGTATTGGAAGAACAGTTCTAAAGGTGGAAGCTTTTCAAAGTCTTGTCTTGCCTCACAACTGTTACATCCAATTGCTCTAGGTTTTGTGTGGCTTTTTATACTGGAGCGCTTTTAACAAGTTCCCCAGTAACAAATCAATACATTACCTGAATTTAACTGATAAACAAGCATTACAGTAGAACTTCATACAGCCACTTTTTCAGAATTATAGCTTTGAGAGTGACTGCTCAAAGTAAAAACATGGGAGGCGACGACTATGTGACTAGCCACTGTATTCTGGTCTTGGTAGATGTGGCCTGAATTTAACCTATAGCCATTTCTCACAAGTATTTGTCTTTTGGAACTGAAGTCATGTAAATGGCCCCCACACACTAGGCCTTGTGAGGTACAATGAGCCTTATGAGGGTTGAAAGCAGCATGGTAATATTTGCAGGGATGGACTGGAAATATGATGACTGCTGTTGATAAAGGAGCTTTGACAGTAAAAGGAAGGTGATTCAAGTAGGGAGGATATAAGAGTTTTATTATTTATATAAAACTCAGCATACAGGTAGTCCTCACTTAGCAACCACAATTGGGATCAGCAATTCTGTCACTAAATGTCAGGTCACTAAACGAAACATCACGTGACTGTGACTTACAGTTTTATTTCTGCTTTCTTTATTAACTCTGCTTGTCACAAGCCGCTTGCGAAGCACATGAATGGCAATCACATGACCACGGAACACTGTGACGGTTGTAAATGTGTGTCAGTTGCAAAGCGCCCAAATGGCAATCATGTGACCTTGGGGCACTGCGACAGTCACAAATGCAAGGATTGGTTGCAAAGCTTTTTTTTTACACTGTTGTAACTTTGAATGGTCATTAAATGAGGCAGTCAGTAAGCAAGGACTACCTGTATGCAGACAGAGAATGCTGCAGCACTTGAGGAAAAAATATAGCATTTTTGTATTGTTGGAAAAGAAAATTAGAAACTTGACCAAATCTATTATAATTGCTACTCTTTGCTTTCTTGTATTCTGACCCATGAAATAATGATGTCTTTGAAGAGAGAGGAAACAAGCTATTTTTATTTTGAAAGTAACCCTTTTCTTAATGAAAGCATACATTTCTGAGAGACTCCCCCAGCCCCCCATGCACACATGAAAGGAATAGCAATACCATTCCAAGTGTGCCAGTGTGTAATTTGTCACAAATATTCCGTTCCTTTTCTTGCAGTCCTGGAACTGTCTCCTACCACTTTCCACTCTGCTTTTTCTATTCCCACAATAAAGACTATGTATCATAGTATATCATGTTCTACACCTCACTTTGACTCCTGGAGTGTATTTGATTTTAATTTCTTTTCCTTTTTTTAATTATTATTTTTATTTATTTAATTATTATCCAGCTTTCCTTAACTTTTACAGAACTGTCAATTTTCATTTGGTTTCTTATAAAATTACATCTTAGTTCTGTCTTTATGAGCTTTATGGCCTCCAAAAATTGATTTTACTGCATTTACTTGTTTGAGAATATAAAGGAACACTGGCTTTTCAAGAGAGAAAGCTGCAAGAATCATAGCAGTTTTGGCCCCTAGGTCATTATTTTAAATTAAGCATTAAATATTTGTAAATATGTTTACAAATATGTAAGCTAGTTAATATGAAAAGAATTATTAGTTTACTGGAGCAAGTGACTTTTACCAAATAATTGTTGGAAATATATTAAGTTCCATTTTTAATGTTTAAAATCTGCATTTATCATTTCTAACAGAGCATAGTGTCTGTTGTTTGATGGTCATGTCCATCCATAGCATACAGAATGGTTTCTTGCAGTTTACCTTTAAAAATAGTTCAAACTTGGTCATTCTTTCTTTTGAAATATTTTTGGAGAAAGAAAGGATTTATTCCTTCTAGCTCGCCCTCATAATCTATTACATAAAATGCAATAAGCAAAACTATAATAATTCCCATAACAAATACATAAATATTTATTCCTGCTGTTATAATGATAATCCAATAATTCCCTGATTGTAATATAGACAAATTATTTGTTAAGGCAATATCTTTATTAAGCCAGCTAAGAGGCCAAAATGCATTATTTTAGTATGCAATATGATTTTTTATTTTTTTAAAATGCCAATATGGAACTAATACTTTCACATATCATCAAGTGATTCAGACTAAGGGAAGAATATGCATATTGACTGAGTTCATACAGTATACCACACCAAATAATAATAATAATGTGGTTTGTTTGGCTTTGTTTTAGCTTCTTATATTAATCCAGTCATTGTAGTTTATAAACTGTGGTTTGTTGTTTAGTGCAATTTGTAAACCTAGCCATTATGACAATCTTATATGTATAAGATCCTGTGAAAGATAGACAGACAGACAGACAGACAGATATCACACCATCTTCCTACACTTGCCAGCTGTGGTTCTGGTGGTAGTCCAATTCCAGGTGACACGGCTAATCTCTGCTATTGTTGTATCTGTAGCATCTTCTGCATGGCCAGGACCATAATTGGACTGGTCCGAAGCTGTATTAATCATGAGAAATAAAATATTGCTAGGCTAAGACTGAAACTATAGTTGCTCAGTTTCTAAAGTTGATGCAAGATGAAAAAGGCAATTTTTAAAATTAAAAATAAATATTATAATAAACCAAATTATTTTCCATACATTTTTTTAAAACTGCATTTTATTCCCTGTATATTGCTTTATTGCCTAGAATGTCATTTTTAAGTTCACATTGTATGTTCAGTTTCATATTCAGTTAACAGTGGGAAAAGAAAAGCCAGTTTCCTTGATTCATGGGAATTATTTACTTCATTTGATTTTGTGTTTCCTTTGCTGCTCTTTTTAGTTTGATTTCATCAGTAGCTTGTCTTTATTTGCCTGGACTGAACATTCTTCTTTCTTTACCCCTGTTCATTGCAAACAGCCACGAGGCAAATGTAATGTCTCACAGCCTGGACCCTCTGTCAGCAGTCCACATAGCAGGTACCTTATTCTCCTAGTTTCTGCACTCTGTTCTAGAACTCCAAGAGGATGATGGAAATTGCCCATAACAAGGATGCTTGGCCATACTGACATCAACAGCTTGAGTATAAGTTTTTTCTACAATTACCAATTTTCCCCAGTCAAAATATGGTTTGAAATAGGAATACCTGATTGTTCTTAGTTTTAACTTTGGCTTCCAGTCAATATAGCTTATCTAAATTCTTTAGATGCATTGAAGTGCATGGATGTTGGTATTGCATTCATGATACTACATGGAGAAATGGAGAATCCATTTCTAGATTCATGGCAAAAACTTTTATCATCCTCTTTGTTTCTAGATATTAAATTAAAGCAGGCAATAGACCAATATAGTGTATCTGAATTCAAAAACCCACAAACCTGGATAAAATGCATAACAGTCTCTTTTTTCTCTTTTTGTAAACCTACATTTCTTAAAGTTTTGTTCAGCTTGTGGGTTTTCAAATTTCATGAGCCCAACCAAAATTCAGAAGCTGAAATGAAGATGGCAAATGAAGATATGGCAGAAACACATCTTCACTCTAAAACAGTTTCCATGCCAAGCCAGCATTCTTAACTTAGCCTTAATCTTGCTTATGTAGGACATTATGAAACCAGCACACCCTTCCTCAACCTAACTACTAAAAAGCAGATTTAATAGATGAAGCTTTCAGTGTTCACACCTGTCTAGAAATCTGTCTTGCCTGCAGCTAACAGTGCTTCTGCATTCTGTTGTTGTGAAATATGTGTGCTTTTATCTATTTATAATCAACAATTTACTTTCACTTCCTGGCTTTCTTTTCTTGCATGACCCAAATCAGAATAAAGATTCCAGAACATTTATGTTCTAGGACCTCTTTTGATGTCAACAGATGTTCTTTAAACAGGAATAGCACAATATAAAGAAACCATGGAGCTGTCTGAAAATATAGTTCACATGTGCCTTCCTTAGGCACTCACATGTGAATTCCTTAGCGGTAAAGATTTACTAATGCCCACAAAATTAAATCAGTTAGAAATAGCTAGATCTCCTTGAAATATGTGGACCTAAAGTATGCACTGGCAGTGTTCATTTGATTTCACTGGAACTGGCATGCCTAACATTGGTTGAATTATGTTTTCAAATATAACAGCCTGGGTAGTCTGGGTTAAATTATTTTATATAGCAAATCCATAATTCATGCAAACATAAAAGAAATTAATTGTACAGAAGCAAAAGCTGCACTCAACATTTGATGGCAATCCCTTCCCAAGCCAGATTTTTTTTGAGCAAAATGTGACATGAAGGGGCATGGGGAAGAGTAAGGAATACTAGCTCGAATTTATTACCATTTGTCATTCATAATGCCCAACATTTTTCAACAAGATGCAGTTTTGTCTGTATAACTGAGCCACTTTACTGGCAAACAACAAGCCAGAAAGTGTACTAAGCTTTCTGCTTATCCTTGATACTTGCAGATAGAGCCATTGTTCTTGCAGACAGAGCATTTATCCTTCCGCTTAACTGTTATCTTTCAGTTGCCTTTTGTTTATATCAAGCATCAAATTAAGATATATACCATTTTTCTGAGGCTGTGTGTCTTTTGCCACTCAAAAAGAATGCCCACCAACAGAAATGGTGCTATTTACGAAGTAGTTTGGGAATGACGATGGCTTGGAAAATAGAGAAGCTGCAGCCTGGAATGGAGGGCAAAAACTGCTCACTGTTTCCACAGGCTGTCTTCTTCCTTCTCCCTCCACAAACACATAGCACTTTTTCTGCAGCTTTTGGAGCTAGTGCACTTCTGCAGCCCTTGGCAGCTTCAGGACTTGCCCACATTCTGGCTACGGTTTCTGTGCAGCCCTCACAGATCTGCTTTCTTCATCAGTGTTTACTAACACATCTGTTAGCAGTACAACATCAGGGCAACACAATAACCAATTTGTCTTTCAGACAAGCATAGAATACAAATGAGTTTCTACTGAATAGAAAAGTTAATCAAGCATACAAACCAGACAGGTTGTAGTTGATGTGTAATGCGGTTTTAACTGATAAAGGAGTCAGGCTGTCATTGTGTCCTTTAATATTCTGACATGCCTCTGATCTAAATACCTTGCGTTTGATCTTGCACTGGATCAGCAATCCTTAGTGGACTAGACCTATAAAAAGAAACCGAGTCATTTAACCCGCACAATTTTAGGTTAGCCGGGCAGCGATTTAGATGAATAAATATAAAAGCATCTCATTTGCCCATAGCAAGCAGAATCTTTTGGTTCTCCAATCAGACTAAAGCTACCACCAACCGGCAACAGATTTTCATTACATTTTACCCTATTTGGCTTTTCAACTACTACTTTATATTGCTGGATTTTAGCCATGGATTTAAGTCTATGTAGATATTTTATGTGATAAAAACATTACAGATTAAAGTACTTGTGTCCTTTCCTCCAGCGTGTTTACATTATGGGCTGCCTTAAACTACCCATTTAGATCTTGGCGCCAGTGATCCAGTCTGAAGTCTCAGAAACTGTTAATCAAGTACCATGTTCTTTCATCTCACTTTTCAAATCTAATGATACCCAATTTCTAAACGAAATGAATAGTGTCCCATTAGTGTAGCATTGTCCATGACTCCCAGTTTTGCTGTTCACCGTATGCAACATGTGTATTAATCTGCTTCAAGTGACTCAGCTACAAAGTATAACAGTAATACATAATATATAAAATTAACAGAACTATTATTAATGGGAGGGGAGCATTCCTTGGCAAGCAGTACAATTAATGAATTCTGCAGCATTTAACAAAACAAAAGATTTCATACAAAGCTTAGATCTCCTATATATAAGAAAACTTTATTATTCCACATATAATATCTAGAGCCTTTATTTCACCAGCATATCCTGAAGGAGAGTTCCTACCAGAACTGCTTTGCTAACAGAAGAGAAAGGGAGGTAATTTTTGCTGATAACTGCTCCTTCTGTTTACTGAAATAGTCCCTCCCCTGCTGTTCTGACAGTGGGGAGAAATCAGGGAAGATCATATGCTTTTCCAGTAAAGAAGTAGAAAAAAGCCTAGTGGAACAAGAGTCTTCTATCCACTGAAAGCTTTTTCTAGCTTCAACCCATAATCAGATAAACTGGTACTGTCAACCCCATGATTTTTCAAGCTGTTCTGCAGAACCCTGAGATTTCACAAGATCTTGATGGGATTCCAGGAGACAAAATAAGTTCACTTGAACACAGCCAAATTTCTATCACTAGATCTTTGCCTCCTAATCAGGTATTCTGGGAAATGTTTGTTTGTTTGTTTGTTTGTTTAAAAAAAGCTAACAGGTTCTGTGGCCTTAAAGTTTGAAAACCCTAATTTAGCCCTATAACTTTCATTGATTTATTTGGTCTAACTTTAACTACTTTTTAGATTTCAGTAACCAGAATTCAGTATATAAGTATATTCTTCTGATTACACAGAGAAGTGTACTATCTTTAAGCCAAAAACTGAGCCTTTTAATTTGGTCCCTAGAAGTATAAAATATAATTAGATGCCTTTGTTAAAACATTAAAAATCCCAGCCTATGCCACTGTACTGTATTTTTGTTCTTTTAGTTATTTCCTTCTGGTGCATAGTAATAATCTCAGATTAGTTCGTTTGAAACATTTAAAATTCAATTTAGTGGAATTATTCAGGTCTCAAATATTAATATTAAATCACTTCAGAATATTGTTATGAATTTTGTAATCAATGTCATGAAATAAAACAATAATTAGTTGAATCCTAACTTAATTAGACTTAGATCCCACTGAAATCATAGTCATTACTAATTAAATTCCAGTAAATATAAATATAAAACACATAAGTATATAGGCCATCCCAAGATCAATTTACAATCTAGCAACTACAAATATAAAATGAAAAAGAAAACAAGAAAGAAAAACAAATTCAACAATGAAAATCAAAATGTTTTTACACATTGGCTAGTTAAGGCTTTCCAATGTGTAAAAACCATATTGTATAAAAACCACATTCAGTTTTAGGAAAAATAAATATCATCTGGCCATAAATAAAGAGCATTAGGAGAAAAAGCAGGTGTCAAACATAGGGCTTAATGACTCACAAAAGAATTGCATAATGGATAACTGAAGACATGTACATGCAGAAATCAAAGATGGAAGCAGGAGCTGGGGAATGGATATATTCAACAGCAGATTACATGGTCCTAAATTGAATGGGAAATATGAAGATAATAAAATCAAGGTTGGACCCAAATTATCATTGCATACAGAAAAAGTAATATATCAGACTGCATAATAGAAAAAAAAAGCCTTAAGAAAAGAATAAAGAAGCCTTAGGAAAACAGCATTACAATAATCCAAAGAACATAAATAACTGTTTGAATAGATTCAGTGGATTTTATTGTTTGTCACTTTTCTTAATCTGCTGTTTGATGCAGAAGGTGGTGTGTCTCCAGTTACCTCGAGTACTTTCTACCCCCTGTCATATGCATTTCTTCTCACTAACCATGAACTCTTCTCCAGTCATTACGGATCTTCTGTTTATCCTGTCTCACGTGCCCCTCCTCCATTACCTGGTGAACGTGACTTCCACAGAGCATGGCGCCAGGTCTTCTTTCAGTTCCAAGACCGAGAATGAAGCTGACTGCCGTAGTCCTTCTGGAAGTGAATAAGAAGAAAAGTAGTGTTGCTGTTTGTACAGAAAATGAAAGTTCTTTAAAGAGACCAAATATTTCTATTCAGAGGAAAATCTGGGAATCCTAATGCAAGTCAATTTAGAAATGAATGAAAAAATGAAGGCAGTAGTCAGTCAAAAGTGGAAGGCTCAAATGGTTTATTTTCTTAAAAATTAAATACCAGTAGTTGATGAAAGCCTGAAACCACAGTCTCATGGGGACTTATTTGTATGACTACATTCAGGTTGTCTGACCTAAGACTCAAAAATGAAGACAGATTTGAACCCAGTATTTCAGTTCTGCCATTTTTTTTAGCAAATAAAGGATAGGAGCCATGCATCACGTATTCCAACAGTGCAAAATCATAGCAATGGAGAGAAACCAATTGTTATCTTCATGTATTTCCACATGGGCTCTGTGGCATAGATGTGCCTAACTATAGGATCTAAATACAATCCATACCTTTCATTTTTCAAAAAGAATGTATAATCAAAGCCTGTACCCTTTACTGCACTAAGTGCAAATGGGAAGGAGGTCAGTAGTACACATTGCTGAGGAATAAGTGAAAGCCATGAAAAGAAATTGTCACATCAATTAAAGAGTCTATGTAGAGTCTCAAATGGCAATTAAATAGCACTGCCTCTTCCCTTTGTCTGTATTTTAGCTCTTGGTTTCCTAAGTGGCACTGTAAGGTCCTAGAAGTCTGAGTCTAATTAAACTTTAATACTGAATGCTCTGATGCTACTCAGTGTGCCATATCCATTCAATACTTTCATACTCCAAGGCCATAAAATACCAAATGATGCCACTTTCCATCTTAGCCTTAGTGATGTCCTTGTAAATAATGTGCAACCTTTTGTTTTTAATCTTGGCCCTCTTACTAGTCCTATCATCTTAAACAGTTAATCATTTATTAGCTTTGAATGTTCATGTCTCCATTTGTCAGGTAAAACTAGCAATCCAGTTCATGGTTTTCTTGATGTTTGGAAGGTTAGGAGATGCATGCCCCTAAATTGCCCACTAACAATAAAATGGCCACAAACACACCCATTCTTTCAAGGTTAACAATGGTACGTGCAGTCATTTTGATGAATCACTAGATATAAGGGTGGATATTTCTTCTGACTTAGAAATTAATGCTTGTCATGACAAGCAGAAGGTTATTTTGTTAGTTTTTTTTTCTGAATAATTTTTTCTAGGGTTATAAATTATACTAAAAGAGAAAGAAACTATTATTGGTAATGGTTGATTCAGTGCAAAATGAGGCTGTAGTATACAGTATGTACTAACTAGATGGCAATATCTCCTACCTGTATATTGACACATTACTGTACTCTTGACAGAACATTTTTTATAAAAAATAATTGATAATACATGGATCCTTAAATCCTACTCTTAAAATGATGTATGTTAAACCAGATCATTTGCATTAATAGACATTGATATGATGAAGTATATTTTAAATTAGCGTGACAGATGATCGTTATACTTGGGAGTATTAGAATTGTGAGATGCAGAGATAATTTTTAATAAATATGCATCTGATTTCTGAGCCTCACATCCAGAAATTTGGGATCACTAATTATGGATGCCACATGTATTTCTACAGTAAATAGTGGAGTCCTTGGGGTTTTCTGAGCTTGGTTATTTTCTTGTAAACGTTTCATTACCCGGCTAGGTAATGTCTTCAGTGCTAGAATGGAATGGGGTTTGCTCCCCACTCCATTCTAGCACTGAAGACGTTACCTAACCAGGTAACGAAATGTTTGCAAGAAAACAACCAAGCTCAGAGAACCCCAAGGACTCCACAGTTCAACCCTGAGCTACACATCTTCACTTCTATTGGCACAGTAAATAGTATTCTTGGAAGCACACTGATCCAAATGCCATTTTCCAGAGATACCTTGGTTTATTTCTGTTTTTGATTCTCTCTCCAGGCCCACAAGAGGTGGCTCAGGTTCCTCCCGTTCTGAAAACCAGGGGCTTCCACCACGACCACAGCACTGCTTCTTCCTCAGGGTGCTGAGAGCTGCTCTCCCTCTTCAGCTTCTCTTGCTGTTTCTGATTGCTCTCGCCTGCTTGGTTCCAATGAGCGAGGAGGACTACAGCTGCACTCTCTCAAATAACTTTGCGCGCTCCTTCCACCCCATGCTTAGATACACCAATGGCCCACCACCTTTATGAAAAGATTGCCAGAAACTCAAGAGTGGTTCAAATGCAGTAGCCAGAGTGCAGTAGCATGTCCATGAACTCCATGCCCACATAAATAAATGAAATGTCTATCAGTATCAAAATGAGCCATGGAATATGTGAAGTGGGTCATTAAAGACTCACATCTCTGGCACTGACTTTGACTAAGTAATAGAATGTTTTTCTCCCCAGCCAACATACTGGATTTTTCAGCTACTTTTATAATTTTGACCATCACTCTGTACTATACCTAGCAGAGGACTTCAGTTTGAAGAAGGACCTGTATGTGCTGCTCGTGTAGAGCTATTATCCAATCTTTACTTAACTACTCTACTGGTATTTTAAACTAAACTTACATATAAACATATATACTTGTAAGAAACAAAATGAAGTGATTTTAGAAACCATTGTAACATAAAATTTTAAAAGCTTGCAAGGCAGCATATTATTTTCCCCATTTTTGGTGGGGTTTTGAGTGGGGCATGATGTTCTAATCTTTGCTTTGAATGCACAAATTGTAAATGGCACATTTTATAATTTAAAAAAAAATTATGTAAGAAATGAAATCCTGAAAACTTTATGAACAACCATGGATATTAAGTATTAAAAATATTTATGTATGTACAGCTTGCTAAGCTAGTGTACTTATTTCTTGATAGAGAAACCAGGAAATCCTTTGCCTATCTTCTTTTTAAAATACATATTTTGGAGCAATATGTGTGTGTGGGTGCATGTATGTATTTTTTATTGATTATGTTGCATGAAGTTGGTGTTGATTCTTAGTAACCACATAGATTTTCTCCATGATGATCTGGCCCTAATTATCAGCCTTGTGAAGTAGTCCAGGTAAGAAGCACACAGAGAAATGCTAGTTCTAACTTTACTGTAAGGTTACATTAACAGAATCTTGCAAGTCTGAAAGTACATCTCTCCCCGACTCACGTTTATAGTCCCAAGAAATTAGGGAAGGTGCCTTCTGAGACATTTGCCATGCCCACATTCCGTCTGTGGGCTCAGCTGGCACTTGTCTGACCATGTCTAGTCTGCAGATCTTCCATCTGTGTCCCAAGGTCATTCCCACATACCATTACATTAACGTGATCTTTCAGGTCTTTCAAGGGTATACCCATCACCACTGTAATTGAGTCCAACCACCTTGCTGATGGTTGTCGTCTTCTCTTTTCTTCCACCTTTCCCAGCATTACAGCCTTCTCTAGAGAGCTAGGTCTTTGCATAATGTGTCTGAAGTAAGATAATTTGAGTCTGGTCATTTGTGCCTCAAGTAATAATTCTGGGTTGACTGGTTGGATGATCCATTTGTTTGTTTTCTTGGCTGTCCATGGTATTCTCAGGAGTCTACTCCAACACCAAAGTTCAAAAGCATTGATATTCTTCTTATATTGCTTCTTCAACATCCAATTTTTGCTTCCATAGACTGTCACAGGGAATACCATAGCTTGCACAGTTCTGATCTTTGTAGGCATAGACACATCACATCATCTGAATATCTTTTCCATACATGTGTGTTTATGCAAAATCTCAAAGCTATTTTTTTCTTCTTTTTTTTCAGTCTTTCTCCTTTCTTTGTCTTTCTTGTACACATGGGGATCAGTGTCATTTTTTGTAAAAGGCTGTGGAAACTCAGTCTTCAGAAATAGATGGGAAAAATTAAGCTACAACATTTTATATAGGAAAAAATCTTTTGTTAAAATGAAGAAGTATTGAGTTTTGAGACCCTGAAAGCCCTTTCTGATGGTGACTACTGAAAGTTTTTGGCAGTTTCCCACTAATCTGAGCACGAAAACATACAAAAAGCTTTACTATAAGCCCTAAAATAGGCACAAGATAGCCTTAATGAGCAAAGAAACCCTCAGAAAGCTCCCTATGCATCCAGGGGGGAAGAAACAGAAAATCTGACTGACTACATGTGATGTGACCCAGCCCTTCTGCATCATCACATAAAGTATGTCAGCCCTTGGCCATTAAATTATTCCCCTTGGTTAAAAGGAATGGTCCTATCTAATAAGTCGTACAAAGACATAAAATTCCACTAATGAAGTACCCCAAATAGGGTACAGAGGAGAACCCTGGATTTGTGTTACACAGGTAGATGCTCCTAGCTCTGTCAAGATCAATTGGCTCTTCTGGTAACAAGGAGTACATCCCACATAGATGATCTGAACGTAAATGCCAACCATCTGTTCCACTTAGGTGACCTTAAAATGCAGATTCATACAGATACATTTCCTTCAAGAAACTCTGAACTAGAAACAGATTTTGTTGCATCTTAAAATTTAGTTTTACTGTATCAAAATTTGGTTGGATTGGCATCTTTTATAAAGTGAGATATGTTTATTTTTTTCAGATTTATGTATGCAATTTCTGCCTTTAATGATAAATCAGATCACTTACCTTTGCAGAAGAGTAATGACATATACAAACTTAACCAAATCTCTGATTACTGTATCTTGCTACAATGAACATTAGGGTAGGTTCTCCTGTTTTTCCATTTGAAAAGTCCTGCTACTGGAGTAAAACTATAGTAACAATAATTCCATTACTCACACTTCAAGTACACACAGGGTAATTATAGAAGTTACAGCTAGAACTTCCTTTAAAATTGGAAAAACTATTTTTTTGCAAAAGTCATTTCTGCTTTAATTTTCTTTTAAAAATTGGTGTTGCAAAAATTTAACATTCTACCTTTCATTTCTGAATATACTTTGAAAAGGTAAATAGCAGTGCACTGGACTGGGAGACAGAAATTGGAGGAAAAAAGCAAGTTGATTGAATTGCAGTGACATCCTGATATGAATTAAATTATGTTTATATGGTTGAAGGAAGAGTCAATTGCTATCATTTCTACAGTAGAAATTGAGTTGATAATCATTCTCTGTCCTCAAGTGAAGCCTGGAACTGTTCAAAAAGTTAGAAATCTTTTAATTGTTCTTTCTCAACACCAGAATGGTACTTTAGGATGGATTGAAATTTTATAGAAATGCAGTATATTTCCAGTGGTCTGTGAGCAAAGCCATATAGAATTCAGCAAGTAAAGAGAGTGAACAGCATTCTTTCCTTTAAAACAGTATGACCTCAAGGAAGAGACAGTTGTTCATAGATACAGCACAACCGTCTACAGCGGGGAACCTTTCTGTAGAGACAAACCTTTCTACATGAGCTGCAGTATCATGATTCCAGGTCCTGGGGAATTATGTGTGTGAATACGAAGACTTCCTGTTGCAGACCTACACTTAGTTATGACTAATAGTAACATTTAGAGATGATGGACAACAGGGAACAAAGTGTCCGAACAAATCTTCAGCAAAAGAAAACTTAAAACAATTCCAGTTAGAAGAGCTGTAAGAGAACCTTGGCAGAGCTCAGAAGTTAAGTCGGGTAAGTTCTGGTCAATATTTGCTTAGGGAACCACTTGGGAATTTCAGAACTATTCACTATTTAAAAAGCCCTCTAAGCTGTGGCAAACCATTTCCATACAGCTGCCAAGAAAACTGCCTGAGCATGTCTCTGTAATTATCAGGCATCCAGTTCAACAGGAAAGAGTCTTTATATAAAACTAGGACAGTTTCCCTACACATAGTGGTGTGTTTGTGCACAAAAGAGAGAAAGAGATTGGATGAGATAGGCTTGCAATCCATCATCCCTCCCCTCCCCTCCCCTCCCCTCTTGTCACACCAACAGTTTGTAATTATCACTTCCAACTATCGGTGTGGAGGTGTTTACTGTTCTTTCCTTCCTGCCTGAGAGAGCACCACATTTAGCCGCTCTCGACCATTTTCACTGTAGAAAAGATGCTCAGTGGGCAGAACCTGGGCTTGGGAATAAGACTTTTTGAACTCGGAGATAATGTGGAAAACGTATGAATCGATCATCAAATACCACTTACTAACATTAAGAAGTGTTATATATTTGCTCTAATCAACAGTCGGATTCTTCACTTTCTGCAGCAGTTCTTTTAACTATTGGCATATTTTCCACACTTAAAAAAATGGAAATTATCCCTTAACATAGTTCGTATAAGACATTTTTCTTGGGACCATTCTCCGTACTTTTAGAGTAGGGGCACTAGAAGCGGTGAAATAGTAATCTCATCTGAGTTGAGGGGTGGGGGGTGGGCTGGGAAGCTTTCTCAGCAATTCTTCACCTTTTGAGAAGAATCGAACAGAACAGAATAGAAATCTACAAATTGCCAAGGATCCTGTTAAACAGGTATATTAGAATCATTGTGCCCAATTCCCGCTCATCACTCTGTACTTTTCTGCTGCACATCTTGGGAGCAGCAACTGAGAAATTATAGAAAGAACTGAGAGGAAAGCGAGGGGGAAATCAGTGTCTCTGAATAAGATACGCATTTTCAATGCAAAACAGTATCTATGCAGGGATTCAAAATTCACCAGTCCTTATGAGGTGAGAGGATGATACAGTCTTCTGTAGACATAGAATTACCCAACAACATTATGCCATACCTGCTTGCAACAAATTGGAAAATACTTCCTGATTAACACAAAAGTTTTAAAATGTCTTTCTCTTCCCCCACCCCTCCACTGGATCTCTGCACTGGACCTTCTGCTTAAGATACAAGAAATCTGAATCAAACACATGTCCAGCATATGGCTCAAGGAAAGTAAAAGAACAGGATTAATACATTCTTTCCTGCTGAACAACCTGACTAGAATCAAATGAAATGCCCAATTAATTCAGCATGTCCGGGGGTCTTTGAATTTATAGTTGTTAAACAACATGCACCAACCCACATAGCAAAATATTTTTATTGGGAAAAAATGGGATAAGGATCTCAGAATGTGTTCTTTAAATCCAACATTCTTGGATAAATCACAAGTATAGTTCTTTTGATCCTGACTCTTATGTTACAATATACTAAAGGATGGTTTCTGTTATCTTTCAGCACACATGGCTGATGGTAAACAAATCCTTAATAAGTCAACTACTTACATGATTTTAAATCCCTCTGTTCTAGCTATTGCATAATTATTTTACAACAAAGGATGATGTCTTGGATTAGAAAATATCTCAAGGGAATATACATTCAAGAAAAATACATTTCGTCAAATGCAGATTTAGTAAGGGTGTCGCAACCATTTGGAGGAGCATTTGCCAAATGAGTGAGGCAACACTCTGCCCTTGCTGCTCAGAGTGCTGAAGCACCAAGGCCCTGCAGAGTCTTGGCGTGGCTGCTTTTGAGGGCCACCTCATATCATCTGGGTCTGTGTATGCACGCACAGCAGCAACCCCTTGAATGGTTCATGGCTCCCCAATCTCACATTAAATCTGTTGAAAGGATAAAGCAGGTAAAGGAAAAGATTGACTGAACTTTTGTTTATTTCAAAAGCAAATAATTGTAGAACCAGTTGACTTGGGGGGGGGGGGCTTTTCCAAATAAATAATTTTACTCATGAAAGAGAGCAATAAATTGAATTCATCTGAATGCCAGTGAGCTGTTGACTCTGTGTATTGTAAAAACTTCACTGAGTCAGTAGAACAGAAAGGCAAAGAAGATATAGATCGTCATAAATGTCAACTACAACTCTCATCAGACCCAGCCAACAACAGGCTGAAGAAAGCTGCTTTAAGGAACTGGATACATAC